GACTATTTTAATTTACACTTAAACAAATAAACGGGGTCAAACACTGTGCTGGTGATGGTGTTGAAGCTCCATGCTTCGGTGAATGCTGCTGCTCTCTGACCACCAGCAGGTGGAGGCAGCGGCTAATCTGAAGAACAGTGCTCAAAAAGGATGATGCGTTCATGATGATGCGACTAAACACCACTCCCCACCGATTTCAGACCTCTACTTCATAAGTTTGAATATCTAACCCATGTTTCAGCTTCATTTATGATTATTTTACTCATATCATGCTTTAAAAATTGTTATATAGTTAAAAACAGACTTTGTTATTCACCAATTTTGACCTGTTTAGTCTGGTTTGAGAAAAATATAGCAAATATGAAGGGGTTATCTCATGAATCCAGCCCATGTACAGTTTAAAAGATTATTTACACATACGGCTTTATCTCATGCAACAAAAATGAAAGTAAAAGGCTGGTTACACTCAAAATCAAGCCTACATATTTTTATTTTGTCACTCAGCAGTAGTACTAGGATGCTTTAAATAATATATGTAAGAAAAATGTCGATCATCTGTCATCGTGCCATTTATTTGTATATTTCTTTAAGCAGTTAGCCCCAAGATCTAATTTGCGTATTATTTCCTCAACTGTGCTAGCTTGTGTGGGTGTGGGATGCTCTTGAATGTAATGGAACTAAGTGCCCTGTAGTGTTCAAAATCATTCAATCATGCAAATCAAGCTCAGGTTTAGATCCTGTGGCACCATCCGCACCACAAACCTCTGTTCAGGATCGATGCCTGGAGATATCTGTGAGTAGCATTTAGTTCCATTATGTTCTCTGTAGCTCACACCAAAAATAATCTAGATGGATAAATAGCACTACTGAGCAGGGGAAAGCTCACATTTGATTTTTGCTTTATTCCTGCACTCACATGCCTACAGATAATTTACCCCTAAAATGCTCCACTGATCATGATTACTGCCACATGATTAAGTTTGTCTCGGGAGCATGGCCGTTAGCTTATGTCTCATGATAGACTTGAGGTCCTGAAAAACCGAGAGTAGGCTCCTCTTCTTTCAGTACAGTTCCTCCATTTCTCCCTCTGTCACCTGAAACGGTCATCCATGTGTAGATCAGTATGTGTCTTTATCAGTTTGTGAGGTGGAAGAAGGGATACTTTGAGGACACATTCAAAAACATAAACATTATGCATATGCTGTTTTACTGCGCTGTTATGGCATCTGTGAACTCTCCTTAAGACACAAGAAAACACTGTTGTGTGCAAATGGCCGAAGGTTCCGGTCTGATCCTCATGAATGTTAGGCTGGATAGCTTCAGTGCAAACAGCCATGCCGGGAGTCCTGCTGCAGAAAAACAAAGTTCCTTAGACGTTGTTTGCCGTGACCTTTGGTGACCCCTATACATCAAACCTCATGACACCAGCAGTGGCAGAGGAGGCTGTAAGTCAAATCTGGAATAGAAGTTCAGAGGAGTAAAGTCGTGAGCACATGGGAATCTGTTCCATCCACTTATCCTCAGTGCCAGTAGCCTGTTGTTTTGGACAAATCCCAAAGAGAACGTGGAAAGTGAGGTTAACTTTGTAATATGTGTCTGGGTTAGCAGAAGCCCAAACATTTTGCAGATATAATGGACGAGGCGAACCATGGAAAAAAACTCAGATTTATCGTGTCTTCAGGGAAAAGACTCTTTCTTTAAAGCTTATGCTTATCGGCCATTTGTTCTCAGCAGTCTCACATCAGTTTGCATCAAAACCTCCCTCATGTACATTTTTCCTTTCACGTGGGGTGTGATTAAGCAGAGATAGCCCACTTGAGTCAAACAGGGAAAAGACTGACAGACAGGCTGGCTGTCTCCTAAAAGTGGGTTATAGGTAGGAGAGGTGTCATCTTACTGGGAAGCACAGGAAACGCTTCAAACCTTATATCTATATATCTATATCTATATATATATATGAATAAAGCTGGTCGTATATATATGTATATATACGACCAGCTTTATTCATGAACGCCATTTATTCATTTGCTTTCATCACCAAAAATGGAATTTTATGAGATTTCATTTATTTATTTATTTTCACATGTCGACTTAGAGGGAAAAATAATGTTTGATTTGCAGGCCTATAGTGCGCCTGGAGTATCTGTCAAATCTTCCCATGAATCCAGGCGGCTCAATAAATAAAAGCGTAATATGAAAATGCTGTCGTCGTGAACGCTGCTTTGTTTCCAGGATACACACACACACACACACACACACACACACACACACACACACACACACACACACACACACACACACACAGGCTCAACCCTAAATGTGTTTTCCAGAGTATTATAGCTACTGTGCGCCTTGAATGCACCCATGCAATTTCGTTTTAAGTGTCCTCTCGCAGGGAGAGCATGCTGTGATATGATGCAGCGCAAACGACAAAAAGATGCAGCAAACACTCAGGCCTCTCCACCATTCCAAATCACCTTTATTTTACACACATGATTATACCATTATTAGAATTATTAAATATATTTTTCACGCTTAAAAACAAACAAATAATAAAATAAAATCCAAAACAAAAGCACGTGGACACGCTGTAATTTTCCAGCTACTAAAAATTTCTATTTTTTAATACATTTAATATCACGGTATCTGTCTGAAAACAGAATACGTGCTGAATGAAATATATCCCCTTTAAAACAACGCATTAGTGTTTCGCCCCCTTGCCTTCCAGATGTCTCTCGTTGTTTCAGAACAGACGGGAAACGTGCCACTCCGGTTCACGTCCACGGATCATCCTCTTCTCGTCTGCCGTTCCGACAAGCAACATAAAATTTAAAAAAACAACAACAAAAAAACCCCGACTTCAGGTCGTCAAAGATCTGTACACGGATAACAGCATCGATTCAAATTTTGTAGCAGTACGAAATGTGAAATATATTCACGTTTTCAGCTCTCAGTATTTATAATATGATCAAATATTGCTGGGGGTTATATTTTGAACAGGGCTCTGTTCTTTCGTTTCCAAAAAATGTGTCAGAATAAGTAAACAGCGTCTTTAAGTGCTTTAAAATTATGATGTGCAAATTAAGATAAATAAATAAATAAATAAATAAATAAATAAATGGCAGAATGACGTGATTTATTCAGACAGGTATTATTAGGCAGCTATTTTCAGAAAGAGAATTAACCGCCATTACGTCGAATTCGTTTAATTTTTGTACCTTCTTAAGTCACCAACGTTTAATTTAGTTTTCTTTTAGCAAAGACATGTTAAAGTATATTTTATGATTTTATTCTACTACAAGATCTCATGTCTCATATTCAGGACGCAGTTTTACAAACAATAATAAACCGTTTTACGCTATGAGGATATATAAAATCACTTCTATGCGTAAAAGCAGAATTATTCCAGAAAGCAGGCCACACAAAGACTTTGTCTACATGGTTCCTGCCAGAGAGATAGGTATGGCAGTGAATGGGATTTCTGCTGAATGCCAACACCCACTCACCTCAGCAAACAATTGATCCTATGCACAAAAAAAGAAAGAAAAAAGAAGAAGAAGCTCCGTTTTCGTTTCTATACCATCCACCCAGTCAAGTCTTCTCTTCTTTCTTTCTATGCCAGAAATGTCCTTTCTGAGATCAAAAAAAGTGAGGGGGTCAGAGTTACGTCTGGATTTATCGTTTATTATCAAATAACAGAGCAAAAAGCTTTGTGCGCAAAGCCCATGCGTCTCATCCCTACTTTTAAAGAAATCCCGACCTTTCTAAATTGAAAACTCATCCTGCAGCTCACAGAGAGGTCGTCCTCTTCCTGGCCACATATGATCCAAGGGAGTGTTAGATGGTTTAAATGTGTTCTTAGGGCAGGGAGCTGTCAGACCTTTTGGCGAGAAAGATTGATCACGCACGGGCTACCAGGGCTCTTTGTTTAGAGCCTGAGCAATAAACAGCCATCAGATCCCCACCTTTCCTAAGCTTCACAGTGCAGTGGCAAATCATTTCTGCTCTCCCCTATGTTATAACCAATAATGCTGAAATGTATGGATGCCGGCTAAGGTCAACATTATCCCAATAGGTGATATAAAATGAACGAAATTGGACGAGGGGAAGGGAGCAATAAACTGTAAAAAGGTGACAAATGCACGTTAAATTACCAAGATGCTTTCTTACCTTGACACAGACACACAAACACACTTCAAATAATTTATACATCACATTTTTATTTAGACTTTAAATCTAACGCTGCCAATCAAAGGTTAAATAATTTGGGGATTAAAATGTAATCGATGCAAAATCAGACTAAAATATGAAAATTAATTTGTCTCTTTTCTCTCTCTCTGTAGTTTGGGCGGTGGGGGAGGGGAGGACATGTTGCTGTGTCTGGTGCTGCCTTTCCTTTCCTTTTTCTTTTCTAGTCAATCCTCAAGAAACTCTCAAGATTAACGTCTCGGCCAGAGATAACGACTGTGGGCGTCTTGGTATTATGAGGCACAAATGTGACTGCTGCAATGATTTGCGGCGCGCCATGCTGGAAATAAATGCCCATAAACACTCGTGAACTGCAAGCTCGCACGGGCGCGCGCTCCCGTGGCAGACGTGCACGGCTTTGTGATGCATTTTCGGGGTGCTGTAAGGTGGGAGTGGGGGGGCGGTTAGGCAGTGGTGGACAAACTGAGAAGAGGAGGGAAAAAATGTGTAAATAAAGCAACCCCTACCCCCGGAATGAGGCGTTACCTCTCAGACTTTCTCGATCAATCATAGGGGACAGTGGCTTCTTTTGATAAAAAACCCAAATTGTCATTGGGCAGATGCAATCATGTGACAAGCAGCACGGTCTAATTCCGACCATGTCCTCCTGAAAGCAATAGTTTATGGCAGAGGTCTCCCTATGACTATAACCAGTTAAGTAGTTTATCAAAAAGAAACCTCGCAAACATATATTTATATAGAGAGAGATATATTTTATCTTTATAATTCTTCCCTCCTCTGAATACCCGCGAGCTTTCCGAGACAAGCAGGAGGAGATGAATTACGAATTTGGGCGAGAAAGTGGTTTTATCAACAGCCAGCCGTCGCTCGCTGAGTGCCTGACATCTTTCACTAACCCTGTCGGTGATGCATTTCAAAGTTCATCAATCAAGAGCTCAGCGCTTTCACAGTCGACACTGATTCCTCCTCCTTTTGAGCAGACCATCCCCGGCCTGAACCCGAGCGTCCACCCACGCCACAGCCGCTCCAAGCAGGCTCAGAAGGGCTTCAGCCCGCTACAGGCTGTGTCCCTACCCCCGGAGTACCCGTGGATGAAGGAGAAAAAAAGCATCAAGAGGAACCAGGCTGCTTCTGCTTCTTCATCTTCTTCTGCTCCTGCTGCTGCTCCTGCTGCGACGACGGATGACTCCTCGCCACTCTACTTCTCCCCCCAAGGCAAGACATGATGATTAATAACCTCCATGTAAAAAAGGCTCCTTATTGTCTGAGGATTCTCCCTCTGCAAGTAGCTCCATCCTGGGGCCTTGTGCAGCGTGGGCGTCCCTTCTGAGCCAGTCTAGGATTTTGATTTAAGTATTCTTAATCTCATCAAGTAACGCACTGACTTGTGATGCAGTGTAAGAGTGCTAATGTTTGACAGTAATGGAGAGTGATAGATTATTCTTACACGGGCCAGCAGCTGGCATGTTCATTAATCTTCACCCTCCGTCCTGTCTTGTCCACGCAGACCCATCATATTCTGCCTGGGGCCCATAAATCTTCCCAGTCCTGGTGTTTGCTTGCCGCAAGTTTCACCCCATAGCGCTTTTTCTCCCCTCCAAACACACCCTTGTTACGAATGTTTTAAATTATTATATTTGCAGTGGATTTTCTATTAATAATTTATTTAAATTGTTTATTTATTTTAGGTTCACCTGATACACCAGAGAGTGGTGCTGGCGATGGAGGGCCATCAAGGAGGCTGAGGACTGCGTACACCAACACCCAACTTCTGGAGCTGGAGAAGGAGTTTCATTTTAACAAATACCTGTGCAGACCGAGGCGAGTGGAAATAGCTGCTTTGCTGGATTTAACGGAGAAGCAGGTGAAAGTGTGGTTTCAGAACAGGCGGATGAAGCACAAGAGGCAGACTCACAGCAAGGAAAACAGGGACAGCGAGGGGAAATACGCCTGCCTGGACGACGGGCCGGAGGACGAGTTGGAGCAGGCTACAGAGGGCAGCGCCGCCGGGACGCTCTTTGAGAGGGAGAGGTATTTCCACCAGAATACGTTGACTTCACAAGACTGTCAGAACGCACACAATGGAGAGAGCCAAAGCCCAACTGTTACCCCTCTGACCAGCAATGAGAAAAATCTGAAACATTTTCCAAACCCGTCAGCCATTGTGCCCATCTGCGTGTCCACAATAGGCCCGAACAATGACGATTCCCCGGACCTGGACGCCTCATTTCGGGATTTCCAAGTTTTCTCATCCTCGCCCTCTTTCTCACCGAGTTTGTCCGAATCAGCTCAAAGTCCCCTGCCTTTACCCTGCGAGACTTTCGACCTCTTCTCAGAAACACTCACAACAATCGACCTGCAAAACCTGAGTTATTGAAATGTTTCGACTTTGGTATTTGTAACTCAGACGGTTGTGCTCTAGTTTAGGGCGTCAGGGTGGAAATTTTTAATAGATGAGGTAAGTTAAAGCGAAATAAGCAAAGCTTTTTTTCTTTTCTTTTTTTTTGTTGCCTGTATGGACTGTTAAAGTAGGCTGGTAGAAGACACAGTGCACATTTATTTTTATATGGATTTGGACTATAATTGAGCACAATATTTTTATTGAAATAAAATTTTACATTGATTGGACTCAGATGCGTTTTGGGTTTTTTTCTCACTATATGCCCACAATAAGCAACTCTAGAGAGCTTATTGATTTTACCTCAATAAATGAAAATTATTAAGAGCATCAGCCATAAAATGAAATGAATTCTCAAAAATGAGAAAAAACAATATAAGCTGTTAATATAAAAGGATTATTTTACCATTAAATTAATTAGCCTGTGAATGCACTGAACACATATAAACTAAAATTAAAATAGAAGCTGTATAAATGTGTAATTTTTGTTGCTGTATTACATTTTTATGTTCATAGATTGTGCTGAGAGAATTTCTCCAGCGTGGCCGTGGGTCTGGTAGCATATAGTCCACAAAAAGACACACACAAAAAGGAGCACTGCGAGAGATTCATTGCCTCTCCATACTTAAACGCAGAAAAAGAAAATTTGCTGTGTGAATTGCCTGCTAGGAGTCCCAGGCCAAAAGCTATGACTTTTCCTGGCTTTCTAATTACGTTTTATTGCCTATAAAACTCACAGGACTGAGGGTGCTTGTTTATAGCCCGAGCCGCAATGTAATACAATCTCTTTGAATTAAGACGTGCGCCTTGCCCCATTGTGGTTTTCAAAACTTTTTATGATGTAAAATTAAGTAGGACTCATTCAAAGCAGCAGACGTAAGGCATTTTTTCCAAATTGATATATAAATTTATGTAACTGAGCCTATAAATTAATTGGATGATGTAACTATAAAACGGATTCGACTGCGAACAATGGTCACATATCAGTCAAACGGCTGAAGGTATTTATGTATATGAACCGTTTATTATTATTTTTTTAGTAAATCATCATGAAATTGAGGTAAATTTATGTTGGTCTGGATCAAAGGCAGTTCGACCCCGTTTAATGCTAAAGGAATTTCTCACACCGACCAGTTGATCCTCTGCTCGACTTAAAGACGCTTTTTCCACAAGGGCCCCCCCTCCATCCAACTCCCATTTTTCATATACATTATTTACTGTTTAGAATTTAAAAAAAAAATGTTTGGTGAAAAACCAAAGTCATTCGTCGGTGCTATATAAAATTAACCACAGTGATTAATAATTCTGAAAACAGTCCCCAGGCGGCAGATATTCATTTATATGCTCAGTGTACTTGCACACACACACACACACACACACACACACACACACACACACACACACACACACACACACACACACACACCCTCTGCGTTTTCGACCGCACGCTAAGCGCCTCATAGCATTAATAAAAACGAACGGGAGGTGAGGCGGTGAACTGCTCGTCCTCCTGAAAATGGTTCAAAGTGATGCTGATTCTGCATGTTTTGAAAACAAGGACAAAATCGTGAAAGCCTAATATTAAACCCAGTAGGCCCAGAAGCAGTCGGACGTGGACTCATAAGTAGATCCAGTGTTAACCAAGCAACACCTCCTTTTCTAAAAGCACAACAATGGTCCACATGATCATCTCCCACCTTTTATTTTACACTGACCAAATAAAGTATCTTATTATACAAAAACGATAAACGAAACTATGAATTAATCCGTGTTTTGCATGTTAAACAGCTAGAGTGCAGTGTGCACTCGGTGGATTGCGACCCCTGTAATGAGTGTGATAAAAGGGGAAGGAACCAAAGGCGTTGGGCTGTTTTTGAGACGACAGGCAAGTAAGATAGAGCTTTATGGAAACTAGATACATGGCTTTGCCTGTAAGAGCCCTCCCCTTGCTCGCACACATGCGCTGGCACACAGAGGCACACAGAGGTCAGAGGTCAAAGCGGCTCTCCTCTAAAGCTGGGAGGAACTACCGGCAGGTCAGGAGGGGGTCAGGTTTTGAATGGCCGCAGAGCATTAGAGGCTCATAAACAACGTGCTGGCTGCTCGGATGAAGAGAAACAGGAAGTGACGTCAGAAAACGCGGAAAAGATTTAATTTTGCGTTATGATTTGTAACAACTCTAATACTGAGAAATTCAATCGTGATTCTGAACAAAAATCCTTGTTTAATGATCATATGATCTGTTTGCAGAGTCTAACTGGCTGTGGCAGCACAGCTACCTGCAGCCAAGCCAACACCTGAGACTAAAGCTGTGCCACAAACGCCTCGACACTTCTGTCTCCTTCCTCCAAAACAACAGAGTATACAGTTCAAAGGCTCAGTCTTTTAACCCAGATTGGGTGATACCGCCTGTCAAAAAAGACGAATAAATGACTGACATCTTTATAAACAATGTGACAAAACAAAAAGAAAAGGCCATTTTCCGTAAATGCACCAGAGGCGCTGACTTAACTTGATGTAAGAAGTCATTCTTTCCTGGTTCTATCGTTTTCTTTTAAAATAACCTGCATATTTGTTGTTTCTTCTTCCTTTTTAAAATGTCAAATATATAGTCAGAGCAGTGCAGCAGAAGTAGCACAGACTCCCGTGAAACATCTGAGGAAGCTGGCACAGAAGCATTCAGCATTATATGATTGACTTTTTAATCTATTAATGATCCCTGTTTTGGATTACAGCCCTGACATATTCATAGACTCAAAGCTTGCATCGCTGTAAAACAAAAGACGCCCCTAATGTGTTCAGCGAGTCAGCCGTAGAGAGCAGACTTAAGTGCCAAAAAATATGATCTGGAATCAATCAACAGTATGATCGCGGCGTTATGCTCGGACTTTATTATTCCGTAAAGACCCGTTGCTCCATTAAAGCATCAATTTCCTGTCTACGGTGGCAGTCAAAAAATAAATAAAGGCCAATAAACGTCAACGTCTGTGAACGCCGAACACCGAGCAGGCAGCTCTGAGTGTTTGTCCTGCAGCGGAACTGTGTGGTCACTGATAAATAATTAGCAGATTAACTTCCGTATATCTTCGAGCCCGAGCTGCTGCTTCCGTGTCGCGCAGGCTAGAGTTTCCCTTCCTCAGGCTGGACGCTCAATCGCTTCAGGCTAGAAACTGCGGTAAGAATGCGTGCGATCCCCGAGGAGTTAACGACGCTCATTTCAGGTAAAACTGTTGATTCATAGTTGCCTTTGGAGTAGAGGAGAGTTTATTTCCGCATTTTATAAAGACTTGTTTTACTTTAAGTCTCGTATATAACAAACTGCTTTTCTTTTTAAAAAGAGGAAGCATAGTTTTCCCCATTTTTTCTGCTATATTCACTCAAATCGACGGTTGTGCTTGCATTTCATTAAAAAAAAACAAAAAAACAACTCGCTTCATGTCTCAAACCTGAGGCATGAGCTGGACGTCAAAGCTGCAAACTGCTCCTTTGTTTATGTTGTGGATGTCCATCAGTGGTGTGGCCACTTGACTGCTATCAGCCATCAGAACATGTTAATGTTTTACCTCTTGTGCTGTTCAGATCTCGAAAACTACCTCATTGATGGGTTGAAGGCAGAAAATCTAAGCAAGAAGGCGAAAGAGAAGAGGGAAGCCTTCATCAAGAGGATAAAGGAGGTCAAGCAAGGGTATGACTCATGACTGGAACCAGCATACATCAAAATACTCCAGTTTTGATTTGCTTTGCAGGTGCATAAGTTGTTGTGATTAACTTTATTTGCTGTCTTTTTCTCCCAAACAGTTTTCCACAAGAGTTTAAGGACAAAGGTAAGTTGCCTGTCTGCTGAATAATCCTGTAGGTGTGTTTTTAAAACTGGTACCCAATGGGGGTCATGACTGACCACAAGATGTCATGACATTAATGCGAAGGCCCACAAGTCGATTACAAACTTATCCCACAAATTTGAAAAAGCAAGGGCAAAAAGAGTCGCATTTCATAATAAACTGGCCACATAACACCTCTAACACCACACAATGGCAACTTCTGTGTTACGCTGTGTGCAGTTACTTCACAGCCCTCTGTGTTTACTGCAGTAGGTGGAAATGACTCTGATGACGAGGAGGAAGTTGACAGCAACAACGACGGGGGGTCGCTGCAGTCAGAGCGCACGGACAAGGATGATGATGGTTTCGAAGGTGAGCCACAAACACTTAGCAGACAAACAGAGTTGACTCGCTAACTGCTCGCAAGCTGCGGATTAGAGCACCAAAAGCTCAGTGTTGGCAGGAAAGTATACAGATCTTTGCTCTGGCTCCTTGGAGAAAGCGACTTTGAGTGGCACAATGAGTGAGACATTCCAACTGTAACTTGGCAACATACTTGGGAAGCAATTTGGGTGCACAACTGCTACTCCTACCACCTCCCTCACCCCTCCCCTTTGATGGCTAAAGCACACTTTATTGCTCTCTCAGCCACAGTCTAGGGGCTTAAAATTACTGCTGTGGCTGCAGGTTATGACACAAAAACATTCCCCGATAAACACTAGCTTTAATCCTGTTTGTTCCATTATCCAAACTGTGACAGATTTTTGCATTTGCAGTTTTGTTTTTGCCCCCCCTTTTTCCCCACCACAGAGTATCAGGGAAATCCTTATGAAATGGTGATTGGGGGACTGGGTTTTATGGCCTATAAGCAGCTGCCAGTTTTATGGCTGCTCTTTCACACAATGCAACTTTGACACGGCATTTGAATATTTGAAGTTAGACAGGGCAAGGGAAACCTTCTCCAGTGAGAGTAAAATATTACTCAGAGTGGCTTTGCTATTCAATTTAATATCGGTTAAACAAATGCATGATAGCAAAGTAGCTCATAAACCTTCTGGTCATGTTTAACTTTAAGACCCCCGCCACAAAAAACAACAGTCAGTTATTAAGGATTCAGCAGCAATGATGACGGGTCACATATTTGGATTTCCTTAATTCTTTTTCCAGGTTCCCAGCAGTCCCCACCTGTGGCGGCCCAGGACCTGCCATCTGTCTTTAAAGCAGGATATCTTGAGAAGCGCAGAAAGGGTTGGTGCTCTGATTATAAGATATGTACAAGGCAGCTTTCCCAAGGGGGAAAAACTGTAAAGGAAAAGGAGGCTGCCTGGTTACTGAAATATGCAAGCTCTCAAATATCCTTGGGCCAGTGTTTTTTAAATTGGCTTTTTATCAGATGCGAACAAAAAGAAGGCTTTTTTGTTTTTTAACCTTTACAAAGAATCTTACATAATGCAAAACACCAAAAATCTGCAAAAAGTTAGTTGACTCTACTGTGTTGCACACAATACCCTAAATAAAGACTGTAATCTAATACACATTTTCTTTACAGTTCAGGTATTTCTGTCCCTTCTATATATAAAAATCACAACGCTTACAGCCATCAAAACACACTGGAAAATTCTCTGTGCATGTGGTTCTCTCCCTTCACAGATCACAGCTTTTTTGGTACTGAGTGGCAGAAGAGATGGTGTGCTCTGAGCCATCACACCTTCTACTATTACGGCAGTGAGAAAGGTACTTTCTTCATTTTTAAGTGGGTGAATAATCCCCCCCCCCTTTTTAACAGTATTGATGCAGTTATTGCATCTGCACCAATAATGATGATGCTTTAATTTTCTAAACCAGACAAGCAGCAGAAGGGTGAGTTCAGTATTGATGGGTACGGTGTCAAAATGAACAACACCTTGCGCAAGGACTCGAAGAAAGACTGCTGCTTTGAAATTTTGGCCCCAGACAAGCGCGTCTATCAGGTACGCTCATCTCTCGATGGCTGCTCGAGTTTTTTTCAGTCGTTGCCTTTTTTTAAAATGCTGTTAAACTGAAATAACCAAAACCAAATACAAACTTGAGACGTGACATGTTTAAAACTTGGCACAGTGTGTCTATCCATGCACTTCAGTAAATCTTTATTTTAATGCTTTTCCATTTGACACTACTGCCTTTGCAGTAGCTCAGCCTGACACGTACTGAATAAGGCTAAATGAGTGTTTCTAACATTCAGACTCTTCCATGTGGAACATTTTACTATGCATAAATGCAATATTATTTGCTTATGTTAATTAATATATGTAGAGCTTATTGCACATTCACATTCATTTCTCTTCCCCCTTTCATGACAGTTTTGTGCGTCATCACCGAAGGAGGCGGAAGAGTGGGTGAAACAGATAGACTTTGTTTTGAAAGGTTTGAACTTTGCCATTCATAAAAAAAAAAAACATTTATTATGCTCTTTAAAGTTAGTAGCACCTACTGGGGAAAGAAAATCTGCATTTATGCAATAAAACTAATTTTGCTCTCCTGTTTGTAGACATGTCGGGCATCATCCCAGAAGACGACGAGGAACAGGAAATGTACGATGACGTAGGGACTATAACTCAGCCAATCGATGAAGACATCTACGAAGAGCTTCCAGGTCTGATCATGTGTTACATGACAATGATAGCCTCTATCATGTTAGAGAATGGGAACAAAGTGCGTGGATCTTGTTTGATTTGATCTGATTTTATTTTTTATATCGTTTTGTTTCTCCAGAAGAAGAAGTTCCGGCTGTAGCAAAGCCTCGTCCTCCAAAAATTGAGCCGGCAAGCAAACCTGTTCCTCCTCCTGCTGCAGGTACACAAAGCACTGACATTTGTGCTTATCTCAATCCAATGTGGTATATTTAGCGAATTAGAATGTAGGAAGTTTCTAAATAGACAGAAGAAACTTTAAATGTGATCTGCCTTTTTGTGACACGTACACACAGCAAATGAAACCTAACAGCTATGAAGAAGTGACATACGCAGAGGAAGTTCTCGTGAAGGAGTGCAACTGAAAGTTAGCACAATACTGGAAATAACTTCAGCCTAGTTGGCCAAGTTCCTTTTACAATAACTAGCATGTTATAGTTCTGTAAATAGCTGATACCTTTCCTCCAAAAACGATCTGCCTCTGTCTGCTCTGCACATTTGAGCAAACTTCCAGTTACTAACCACCAAGTCTCACCACACGACTCAGAATGGCCAGCTTTATAGACTTTAAAAACAGACTTGCTCAGAAGTGGAAACCCCAGCTGCTAAAACACTAGCTGTGTCTTGGTTTCAAACTACAAACCAGTTGAATCCAGCATACTAATGCACTGCACTTCAGTTAGTTGTCATTGTACATTTTACTACTAAACGCCACTATTTTCTTTTTAATTCTGAAAGCAGTGCCCAGCTTTTACATTTCTCTTTGTGCATTACTTCGTGATTAAAAAATAATGCACAAACAATACACCCCAAAATTATTATTATTATTTTTTAATGAGAATTTATTAGGTAACTGGGACACTGCTGACCTTCTTGATTTGGTTTTTGATCCAACCAAATTCTGCCGTAGGCTCTTGGCAGCCCCCTGTAGGTTCGGTTCAAACTAACAAGTAATTGCTGTGTGAAATCTGTACATCTAGAAGGATTACTCTGGCTAGAAAATAAAGCGCCGATCTGTCATCACCTTGCTTTTTTTTCCTTTTTCAGTTGATAAGAGCACAGACTATCAGAACTACTACCAAGGCTTGTGGGACTGTTCAGGGGACCACCCAGACGAGCTGTCCTTCAAACGTGGAGATGCCATCTACATCCTGAGTAAGGTATGGTGAGGCTAAACCCTAGATGTCAGAGCTAAACTGTGGCGATTCTTGTCTTGATGCACGATAAAGTTGGTATTACCTTAAATCCAACCACACTGCAAAAGTTTGAGAGGTTTGTAGACCGAGTGGCTGGTTTCAGACCACCTAAAGTGAGTTATTTCTAAGCTCTTAGAGGAACTGACTATTCAGATCCTTTACTGGCAGCACCTGGCCCACCGCCTAGAGGTGGAAGGCTGATGGTAAGAGGCAGACTGGGCTTGGTTCCTTCTCTGGCGCTCTAATGGGGATTAGTTGTGTCACAACGGAAACTGTTTTAGTGCTGTTGGCGGAGGCCGAGCTTAGCTGGCACACGGCGTAATTCCATCACTTCCATCTGGACTGTTTCAGCACGCTGTCGCTACTGCCATGCCAGGCAGTGAGCAGCCTTCAGCCCACACGCACCTCTCAGAAATTTCTCTCACCTCGCCAAATAGGAATGTGTGTTTTCAGGAAAACCAGGCTGGTCAGCCACTCTATTCAGAGCAGGTGAGGACGTGTAATGGACGCACAATTTCCGAGGCTTGTCAGCTAGTCATGAGCCGGAGAACTGAGAGGCAGTTCTTTACCTTTATTATGTAACTAAACAGGAGCCCCTTTGTACTTAACCGGTTCGTATGAACGCTGAATTGGATTTTGTTGTGATACATTTAACAAGATTTGTTTTGGACGCTGGACAGAAAATGAGCAGTGGAATTTTATACTCGTCGAGATGTGTGGTTTGTCTTTAAAATATATATAAATAATGTGTGAAATGTACTCCATCCAGACGGGCAATATTTCCTGTCTGGTTTGGTTTCTATGGAGCATGGAGTCAATTGAGACATTCTGTTGTCAACGGGCCAGGTTGCTTTTCAAATTCAAGTCTGCCATCTACTGGCTCTTTAAGGCAAAGAAGACTTGGGGAAACTTTGAGAGGCATGTGCTGTACATTAAACAGAGATGCACAAATAAATAAATACAATTGTAATATGCTACATAGTCATATTATTAACTCCATGTATAGCAGGAAGCACTAGAAATTTATTTTTCACCTTTGCAATGTGTAAATAATTTTTAAAGCCCTTCTCAATTTTATATTGAACAGGATGTCAATGTAAAATTCAAGACAAATTCACCTTATTATCACGTTTAGGAGACTAGGACCAGAAAATTGCTCTCTCTCTCTCGCTCTCTTTTAAATACACTACAATAAAACTAAATAATGAATTATCAGGACTGTTGGTTTTCTTTTCACCAAATCAATTGATTGTTCCTTCAACACTAATGGAGGGACACAAATGCACAAAGCAGACAGACTGTCCAATCCTCATTGACCAAATGCCTGTTTATGACTTCTCCTTGGTGTGTAGAAAAGGCCCAAGAATCAAGTTGCCCTTTCACTTAGACTGGGAGTGCCATTAGCTAAAACCTTGGTGTTGGGGGTTGTGGCCTGCTGCGAGGGCAATGACCATAAAACCTGTCTGGACTGCAGCAGCCAGCTGCAGCTAAATGGACAGCCGACACCCCCCTCCCCCCCTCCCTCCACCATTCCCTCTTCCACTGTTCTCCTTCCTCCAATGTGTCCCTCCCCCATTCTGCAGACCAGAAATAGCTGTAGTGTTACAGCTGGGAGACCCCCCAGGCAGGAGGACCTGGGAGCTGATTATAAGGCCCGACTAAGGGCGATTGTGTTGACCGGATATGCTGCACACCTCGTCGCCCCCAACACACACCCAGCCTCCCATTAGTAACAAACTGACTGAGAGATGCAAGGTCTCTCTGCTTAAAATGCCACAACGCCTGCACAGCGTTTTATCCTATCACTGTTTTACACTTTGTGTTTTAACTAATGCACCGGGACTCTTTCATTTGGTGAAAGTAATCAAATTACAGGACGGTTGTTTTGACTAGCCGAGGGTATTTGTGTTGATGTGTGTTGTTGCACATATCAACTAGCTGACTAATGACAGCTGTGGATGAGGTGTTGCTGTTTTCAAAGGCTGGTGGCAAGTCTTAATGTGGACGCACACTCCTTTACACACACCTCATGTCAAGCTGCTATATTAGCCTCCAGGGGCTTGTGATGAAATGACATTTTAGGAAAGTGGATTTAACATTTTCTGTTTGTCTGTGGTGGCTATGTAAACATTATTATTATTATTATTATTATTATTATTTTTTTTTCATTTTAACACTAAATTTATTGTCTGATCGCTGGTTGGTCAAACCAGGATTTTTTTTTTTTTTTTTTTTAAATTTAAATTTAGTGTTAATAATTCAGATGTTTCGAATAGCTTTCTACAGCATTATATCGATTTGGCTGATACAGATACTGAAACGGTGTGTCAAGCCTGTCTTTATCTGATGTGATAAATGGCCCGTCACCAGAGACCTGTCAGTGTCAGCCCTCACTATAGTGAGCATAATCCCCCTCTGTCTAATACTACCATATGATCGCTTACATCCATTGCTCTGTCTTGGGAATAAGTGGACACAGATGTGGCCCTTCACTGTCCCCGAGTTCTGGTTTGGATGTGAAACGTTGTCCAGGTTCGTCTTCCTTCAGCCTTGTCAGAACGTGATCTCCGGTCTTGATTCATGCGCAGGGAAGACTTTGATGTAAGGTCAAAGAGAAAAGGGGGGGGGGGGTGAGAGAGAAAGAAGGGGAGAGAGTGAGTTATTGTCGTCTTGTCTCAGATCTCTCCTCGCAGTGTCCTCCTCACATCTCAGCATGCTGACAGCCATTTGGAGCTATTACTTGTCACGCTTTGACAGATTTATGTGCGATGTGCTTTATGCACACTGAGCTTTTTGTGTGGAGTGGAGGGAAACATGCAGTCTCAAAACTGACACCAGGTAAAGAGGCAGAACGGAAGGCAAGGAGGTGTACAGGTGTTGATGGGAGATAAGTACTGTAGAGTGGACGGAAAACAGCCGAAAGAAAGAAGGCGTCATTTGTTCTTCTGTTTTATCAATTTTGATTTCAGCAGAATATTATCAGCTAGCATGAAGGAGCACTAACACACTCTTCTTTTTCCTTCCTTGTTTCTGCTTCTCTTTGTGCTTCCAGGAGTATCAGAACTTTGGCTGGTGGGTTGGAGAGAAGAATGGAGTTATAGGTATTGTTCCCAAAGACTATCTGCTGGAGCTGTATGCTATTTAAATGCACCCGGTGTAAACTGCTAACATCTTGTGGCTTTCCAATTGCTCGTTCCAAATGCTCAAAAGTTATAACTGAAAAACTAGTAATTATAAATATGGTAAAATATTGTGGGGTTTTTTTGTATTGAATTTTTTTTGAAGAACATTCCCTGTGATACACATTGTAAGAGACTGATATAAGGATTTAACTTTTTTAATTTGACTGATACATGTAGGGTTTTCTGCACTTTGCACTGCTTTCTTTGTTATTTATTTTGTATTGGGGTTTTTTAAAAACAGTGTGATCTCACTTGCTGCTTTTGGCAAATTTTGAATTTTGCAACTGGCGAAATAAATAAAAATGTAAACACATGACGTTTGGACCTCCCCTGTGTGTGGGTTTTGTTTCTTTCCCTAAAAGTCTACAAGGTGGCAGTAGAGAGTTTTGGAGTGTCAGTTTATCTTTAACAAAGACACTGATAGAAGTGTCTACACATCTGTATCTTCTTTCTTGTCTTAGAACCCAGTTCTTGACATAAAGTTTAAATAATTAATATTATCAAACTGAAGAAATATTTGGTTCTTGAGGCTTTGTGTCATTTTCTGATGTGGAGAAATATTTATAAAATATTTATACTTTATATGCACTAAGTGCATCTATGAATACTAATCTACCCTGAATAATAAATCACATTATTTGTTTTCTGTAATGCTGTGCGGTTAGGTCAAAGGCGATATTTAAACCTGGGTGTACACTAAAGACGTGTATAGGGTCTCCTGGTTACAAAAATATTTATTTATTTTAAAATGACTTTATTCATCTGCTCAGCACTTTTTGCTCCAATCTTCAAAGGGACACTTTTTATTTTATGGCACCTGAGAGACTTGCCTGGGCAGAGGATCGCAGCGTGGCAGATGGTTGCTCGTGCTGCATGCCTGAGTGAAATGGTTGAGGTGCACTAATAAGACAGCCACCCACACAGATCGTATGGATGCTTATCGCCCTCTGAGGGGCTGTTTGACAGCAGGCGAGGTGGTTGCGGCTGGGCATATCCCTCTGAGGTTACATACGTACTGTACATATCTTTTTACAGTCTCCTCACTGAATGAAATACCAAAGCTATGTTTTTATATATGCTCATTTTTGGTTTGATACAGACAAAGATTCCTTGTCAAGGTTTCTCAAGGTTGTGAGAAAATGGGCAGGGAAAATGCATTCCTTAACCGATAACTCACTGCATCGTTCCCTTCATCTTCCCTCTATTTTTTTCTCCCTTTTCTGTGTCTCTCTATTTTGTTCTTCTTGAGTGATGAGCTCGTCCTCTGTCCTCTGGGTGACATTCAAAGACAACATAAATCCTGCCCTTTATGGTATAGTGCAGCGATAAAGCTTCTCTACTAATTGGCGATGTAATGAATTACCATAATGAGTTATTGAATATAGAGAGGAAATGCTTTTGTTTTAGGGCAGAGAAAGAATGTATAATCAAAGAATGCAATATTCTGCCATATAGATGGTCAAAATTGTGATGACAATGCTCTGAAACGCTTCCATCAGGTTTTGGGCTTGCTGCTAAATTATGGGCTATAATGTCTAAACAAAAATATTTCCTTAGTGCTGACATAGCGTTCGTTTTAATGTTTGGCAATGGGTTAAGTTGCCAAAGGCAAGTAAGGCTAAATGTTGCCTCTCATTTTTATGTGCCAATAAAGGATTTCCTTAATGGATGTCAACCCCC